AAGGGGCCCCCCGAGGGGGGGTCCCGGGGCCCCGATTGCAAGGGCAGGCAAAGGGGGCCCTTTCCCGAATGCAACAGAACTAATAAACCAGCCTGGAGGCCCCCCTTTTGGGTCAAAGACCCCAAGTGTGCTTTTTGTAGTTTGTCGGGGGAGGCTGCGAGCCAACAGCTGTTCGGTTTTGACATGCAGCAAACCAAAGAGGTAGTTAAAGAGGACTTAGGCTCTTTCATTAATATTTGCCGGTATTACTTCCGTGTCTGTGCATGCAAACATGTCAATGCCTGGAGGAACTGTTGCGGAAGATGATCAGCTGGCACACTGCCGGGTCTGCAGCGCTGGGGTGTATGTACACCAGGGCAAGGCAGATGCCGCCGCTGCTGCCGTTGCTGCTGCTGTTGCATCCGCAGCAAAGACTCGCAGCAGCGAGGGGAGGTTGGGGGCCCCTCCTCTGCCTGAGGGCCGAACTTAGGGGCACCTGAGGGGCCCAGGCCTCGCAGAAAGGTTAGAAAAGGGTATTGTATTCGGCCCTTAGAGGAGGAGTAGATATTTGCAGCTCTTTTAGTCTCCAGGAAACCCGGAGTGGTGTTACAATTCTGGAGCACACGGTACAAGGAAACACTAGTACTCGAAACGACTGTTATGCTTTTATTTTCGCACTTTTGTTTATTAATTCAATAATTTGATGTGAAAAACACTGAAAAGAAACGAAAACAGAGCCAGCAGGGGCCCCAGGCCCTGTCCCACCAACCTCACCACCTACCTCCATGGAGGCCGGCGGGCTCGTCTGGGTTCCTCGTGTCTCTAATTTGTGTTTTAACTTATTTGCATTTTGTTTTTGCTTTCATGCTGAATGCTGCTATTTTCGTTTTTCGCTTTGGGGAATAGACGCAGCAGCCAGCAGCCCCAGAAGCCCGGGGGCCCACCGGCAGCGAAACCTGCTAAGCCGCTGCAGCTGCTGGGGGCCCCCTAAGATTTGAGACTTTGCTGCACCTCCTGTTGTTTTGCTGCGCTGCTGTGCGCGTTCTAGGAGCCTCCAGCGGCCTCAGGGGGCCCCGGGGGCCCCCCGTTCCTTCCAGCATCACACACTCTCCTGCTGCCCCCTTCTGACACGCTGAACAACCCCCTTGGGGGCCCTCTTTCCCGAGGCAATGAGGGCCCCACAGGGTTCTCGCGCTGCGCCTCTGGTGTTAGGCCTCTCGGGGGGCGCCCCTGCGGGGCTGGGGCCTGGGGGCCCCCCTTCGGCGGCCCCTGGGGGGGCTCACGCGGCCCTCGCGGGGGCCCCTCCACCCCTAAATCGTACCCTAGGAAGACTGGGTACAGGCTTTTGGATGCAGTTTGCCCTTCAGCGGACTTCGGCCCTTCTAGCTGGAGAGGCAGAGCAGCAAGAGAAGCAGCAGCGGGCCACAGAGAACGAAGCTAGCGTTGCTGCTGCACCTGCTGCTGCTGCTGAAACTGGCTTGGCTGGAACTGGGAGACGAAGCAGCAGCGAGGACTCAGCCGCGCCGTCGCAGCTGCAGAAGCAGCAGCAGCAGGATCAGCAGCGGGAGCAGCAGCTGCACCAGGAACAGCAGCGGCCCTTCGAGCAGCAGCAGAAGGAGCAGCAAGAGCAGCAAGAGGAGCAGCATACAAGCAAAAACAAATCCAAAAGAGGCAAAAGGAAGCGCTCAGACCCTGGGGGGGGCCCCCCTCCCGAGGCCCCCGCAGACAAGCAGCAGAAAACAGGGGGGCCCCCAGCAAGCAAGGCCAGGGCCCCCCAGGGCCTCCAGGTGTCCCCTGGGGGCCCCAGCAGGGGCCCCCAGGTACCCCTCTCTGGCTCTTATAAGGAACGAAAAAAGTTGGGGGGCAAAAGGGGCAAAAGGGAGACAGAGGAGGCCCCACCTCGAGTGCGAAAGAGCACGCCCAAGCCGGCTGCTGCTGCTGCTGCTGCAGCAGCGGAAAGTGCGGCAGACGCAGCAGGGTATAGCTCCCCATCCCCGCACTCAGAGCCGCAGCAACAGCAGCAGCAGCAGCACGAGCCCCGTGCGCCAGCTTCCGGCCGCTCCAGCGAAGGGTCTCAAGGGGCCCCTCAGGGTCCAACGCACAGCCGCAGCAGCAAAAGCAATCAGGGGCCCCAGGGGCCCCAGGGGGCCCCCCAGGGGCCCCCCTCAGAGGAAGCGACGGCCTCTGAGGCCCGCTCCCCGTCAAGAAGAGGAAAGGGAGAGACACAGCAGCAGCAGCAGCAGCAGAAGCGGCAGCCTAAAGGAGACCAGCAAGTAAGGGGCCCCCAAGCAGAGCTAGAAGGAGACTTTTCGTTTGTTGTGGGACTCATAGGGGGCCTCGCTGTCCCCGCGTCGGCGACTGCAGCTGCTGCACCGCCCAGCCACAAGTACAAGCAGCAGCAGCAGCAGCAGCAGGAAGAGCAGCAGCAGCAGCCAGAAAAGCGCCGCAAAGCCCATAAGGCTTCCAGGCGGCGAAGGGTAGACAGCGAGGAAGAGGGCTGTTCAGCTGCAAGTGACCCCCCAAAGCACCGCCCGCAGCACCGCCAGCAGCAGCAGCTGCAGCAGCAGCAGGCGCAGCAGCAGGAGCAGCAGGAACGGCAGCAAGAGGCAGAGAGGGCCCGCAGGAGGCGCCGTGAGCGACGCCGTCACCACCGCTCAGCTCTTGCTGCTGGGGCCCCCATAGGGGCCCCCCTCTCCCCTGAAGGGGGCCCCTGTGAGTCCCCTAGGGTTTCGGGGGCCCCTTCGGAAGGGGCCCCCCTCTCAGGCCCGGGGCGGGGGCCCCCCGCTGCTGCTGGGGGTCCCCCCCTGACCTCCGTGGGGGTGCAGGCGGGGGCCTCCTCGTGCCCCCTTTTTGCTGCTGTTTGGGCAGCTGACTTATCTGCTGCTTCTTTTTTGAAGCAAAAAGCAGATCAGCAGAAGCTGCTGCGGCTTATAGGGCACTCGGAGGGGCCCCTTCCTGCTGCAGCTGATGCTGCTGCAGCAGCAGATGCAGCCTCAGGGGCCCCCCGAGGAAGTGCTGCTCCAGCAGTGAAAGAGGCAGCAACCCACGCGCCGCCGCTGCTGCCCGGCGCTGCAGCAGCAGCAACAGCAGCAGCAGCAGCTGCTGCTGCTGCCTGGGGCAGAGAAGGGGGCGCTGACTCTGATGGATCTTCTTCTGAAGGTGAGTCTTTGCTTCTGCATGACACTGCCCAAGGGGGCCCCCAGGGGGGCCTCTATGGGGGCCCCGAGGGGGCCCCTGTTATGCGACCATGTTATGTGTCCTTTGGCAGCAGCGTGAGCTGCACTCTCTTCCCCTTGAGACAAGGGCCTTCCCCTGCCCCCGCAGCAGCAGCAGCAGCAGCTGCAGCCGAAGGGGCAGCAGGATCAGCTGCAGCGAGAGATTTGCAGGCCACCCAGAGCTTTCCTGAGGGGGCCCCCAGATGGCCCGAGGGGGCCCCCCGAGGGCCCGAGGGGGCCCCCCAAGGGCCCGGGGGGGCCCCCCGAGGGCCCGACGGGGCCCCCCGAGGGGATGAGGCAAGACTTGTGAGGGCCCTCAAACGCATTCACCGCCGGCTTGTCTTTGGGGGCCAAAATGCTGTGCTGCGCAGCGACAGCAGCAGCGAAGATGAAGCCAGCAGCAGGGAGGAGTCTCCTCCACTAACGCCTGTGGCTGG